GCAGGCAAGAAGGGACTGGAAAGTATTCCAAGTCATGAAAGGCAAGGACCTATATCCAAGATTACTCTATCCAGCAAACCTTTCATTTGGAATAGAACAGCAGATAAAGTGTTTCTCAGATAAGGTTAAGTTAAAGGAGCTCATCATTACCAAACTCTTATTATGTGAAATGTTAAAGGGACTTATCTAAAAAAAAGATAAAAAATATGTACAGTATAGTGACAACAAACTCACAGATAACAAAAAACCTAAAAAAAAAAAAGAACTAGGAAAACAACTAGAACAAGAACAGAATCATGGAAATAGAGATCACATGGAGGGATATCAGCAGGGAGGAGTATGGGACAATGGGGGAAATGGTGCAGTGCATATGCATAAATGGTAGATACAAGACAGACAGGGGTAGTTTAAGAATAGTATGGGAAATGAAGAAATCAAAGAGCTTATATGTATGACCCATGGACATGAAATAAGATTGACAAATGGTGGTGGGAGGAGGTTCCATTGTACATGGTGGAGAGGAATAAAAGGGAGAAAAAGTGGGACAACTGTAATAGCTTAATCAATAAAATATATTTAAAAAAGAAAAATCCTTAAAAAGAAGATGTGGTACATATGTACAATGGAATTGTACTCAGTCATAAAAAATATGAAATCTTATCATTGTGACAACATAAATGGACTTACAAGGTATTATGCTAAGTGACATAAGTCACATGGACAAAGACAAATACTGTATTATTTCACTTAATGTGGAATTTTAAAAAACAAAATAAAAATGAAAAAAAAAAACAGAAACAAACTCATAGATACAGAGAATAAACAGATGGTTTCCAGATGGAAAGAAACTTGAGGAGGTGGGTAAAAATATGTGAAGGGATTGAGAAGTACAAATTGGCAGTTACAAAATAGTCATGAGGATGTAAATTACAGCATAGGAAACAGAGTCAGTAATATTGTAACATCTATTTATGGTGTCAGGTGGGTGGAGGCCTATTGGGGGGATCATTTTGTAAATTATACAAATGTCTAATGACTGTGCTATACACCTGAAACTAATAAAACATTGAATATCAACTTTAATTGAAAAAATAATATTTTATAAAATTAAGTAAGTAAACAAACCCTGACAAGCTTCTAAGAGAAATGGCTGATTCTAGGACTAGGTTAGGACTTTAAAAAGGTAAACTTGGAGTATCTTGTAGGGTGAGAAAGTAAGAAAGTGCTAAAAAAAAGTGGGGGAAGGGCTATACACAGAAACCATCTGGAAAAAGCTCACAATGGCCAAAGTTAGGATGTTCTGAGCAACATAATAAATAGAACAATAATGGGTTATCACCCAAAGTATCAATATAAAATAAATATCCATGAGTCCACACCAATACAAACTGAAAAGGGAAATAAAATGGGAAAGAAGGGATCAATATGCTGTGCAGAAGAATTCCCACTGATGTTAGTAGATACACCACCCTTAAGGAGGTGGAGCATAAGTCCCCACTTCTTGAGTAAGGACTGTACATGGTGATTTTTTGCTAAAAAGGGCTATGTGGAAAAGGGCAGCATTAGGGATAAAAAAAAGTACCTTTACAGTGAAGAAATTTAACAAATGATCAAGGTCAATATCAACAGTGATAAGTCATGTTGTCAGTGCATACTCTTGAAGTGATGGGACTTCACCTCTGTGATCTTCCTCCAAAAACACATCACCTCAGTCTAAATATCAGAAAAGCATCAAATGAGTCTTATTTAAGAGACATTTTATAAAATACCTGACCAATACTGCTCAGAACTCTCAAGGTCATAAAAAAGAAGGAATGTCTGAGAAAATAGCACAGCCAAAAGTAATGTAAGGAGATGAGAACTAAATGTAATGTGGTATCCTGTATGGGGATCTTAGAATAGGAAAGAACATTAGGTAAAAGTAAAGTAAATCTCAATTAAAGCATAGACTTTTGTTATAATAGTGTATTTGTATTGGTTCAAATTTAGCACACTAATATTGTATTAGATGTTAACATTAGAGGAACAAAAATAGGAAATAATAGCGTGCAACACAGATGAAAACTCAGAACTATCTTCATCAGCTTTCTATAAATCTAAAACTGTTCTATAATTAAAATTCTGATTTAATAAATATGTCCCAGCCTTTCATGTTAGTTAAAAGCCTCTCCTCATCTTCCCCTGTTGAAGCCCTATCCTATCTTTCAATTCATAATATGAGAAGCTTTCCTAATTCTTCAAAAATGAATTTGTCTCCTCTTCCACGTATGCCTCTAGAACCTGGTGCTTATATTATGTTGTTAATTTTTATTCTTTTTTATTATTTCATTCATTCAAACAATACTTAAGAATACCTATACCAGTTTTTGACAATAGGCCTGTGGGGAGAAAAGCAACAACCTTGACCCTGAACAAGCTTGTGGTTTACGTGGGGTCACAGGTGATGTGGACACTGGCTCACAGTGTCCAAAGAGATATGGATGAGATGAGATAAATTCACACAGACTACCAAGTCCTGTGGAGGAAAAGGGATGGCATGGCTACTCTCTCAAGGGGAATGTGCCTTGAAGTAGCCTAGCCACTCTCTGAAGAGGAGAGTGGCTCAATCCTTGCCTTGAAAAGCTTTTATTGGATTTCTAATAGCATACATCAAAGAAGGTTTTCATTCATTATACTTAGGTTTGCTTTAGGTAATTACTTTTTACAGATAGCAATGGAAGGGGTGTTACTGATTACTTCTTACAGATTTACAAGGCAAAAGTGTTGCGAATGCAGGGGAATAATAAGAGTAACAAGTCTTGTTACACTTCAGTCCTTGGGGAATTAGCACAGACTTCAGGAAGTTACTTTAAAGATATGTAGTAAGCATTTTCTGCCTGAACTCAGGGTAAAAGAGTTTTAGCAAAAGCAAGTCACAAAGCAGCCTAGTTATAATGCAGGCCTGATTTCCCACAGGAGAACTTGTTTGTAGGAATGGTCCTGCATGCCGACTCACTCCCCACTGGTCTTCCACGTGGGTGCTGAACTACATTTCCATGCCTTGTGAAGTGGTTCCCTACACACAGTCCTTAAAATTTCACAAGGAAATTTCAGATAATGAGAAGTGGTGCCAGTGAGGGTATGTTTTCTAAGGAGCTGACCTTTGTGTTTAGTTCAAAGGAGAGTTAACTGGGTGAATGTATTTAAGCTGAGGGTGGGGTGTGGAGGGATGGGAGGGGGAGAGAGTATTTCAGGAAAAATTGTATTTGCAAAGTTTCTGAGGCAGAAAGAAGGGTGGCATCCCCAGAGAAATACATTAATGTGACTGGGTATTATTACTATAGGTAGCATATGTGGTCACTTTACTCTATGCCAGTAGCAGTGCTAACCCCTATTCATGTGTCATTTTGGTTTATACTCATACTAGCTTACTAAGCAGGTTTATTATTGTTCTTATTTATAGATGATGAAACTGAGGTACCCAGAACATAAGAGACAGAGCTGAGATTCAGACTAAACCAAGCTTGTTCAAAAGCCCAAACTCTTCCCTCACCCCTTCCACCATTGAGGGAGGCAGGATTAGTCTACCTTAAGTCAGAAATTATTGTGTGTTTCTATTATTTTAAACTAGGGTTTCTCAAACTCAGTGCTATTTGCATTTGGGACAGATAATTATTAGTTGTGGGAGGCTGTCTTGTGCATTGTGAGTTTAGCAGCATCCTTAGCCTCTGCCCATTAGATGCTGGTAGCACCCACCCTTCACCTGTAATGAGGATTAAAGATGTCTCCAGATTTTGCCAAATATTAGCAGGAAGGATACAGAGCCAGACCACCCCAGCCCTCGCCCTGCTCTGAGAAACACCACATTACACTGAAGTTCTCAGGACAGGGTGGAGCTGCCTTCAGTCTCCCTCCTGCCTTGTTCCCTCCCTCCTCTCCTTTTTATCAATGTTTCCAAGTACTTCCATGTGTGGGCTGGATATACATTCTTTATAGTCTATAACACAGTAACTTATTTGTAGTGGTTACTTAGCAAATGCTTGCTGCAGTTCTGTGAACTGAATCCTAAATGCCAAGAATCATAATTGTTATAGGCTGATTCTTTTCAAATGAAAAACGTTTCTCCTGAATGAAAAAATTTATGTTGGGAAAGTTCATTTCTGGTTGCTGGTCCTTTGGGGTATCTTTTGTGTCCCTGGAGAACTGCCTCAGCTGATGTCCTACAGGCTGGAAAGACCCACCTGACTGCTCACCAAACCCCTAGACAAACCCAGCAGTGCACCTATGAGGAACTCAGTGGAGAGTGACATACATCATTAGGTTGCCAATAAATGATGATGAATGCATGGCTGACCCATAACAATTAAGTGAAGCCATAGGCCTTGGTCTCCAGTTTGAGGTGCCATTTAAAGCATATATGTACTTGCTTCAGTGATTATTTCTATCATTTCTGGAGGGCATCAGAATTTGGGAAATGACTCCCAGTTAGATTTTCTATTTAGCCCCATTTGAGAGTGGACAGACAGTATGAGGGAGAGCTAAATCCTGGGCAGCTTTCCTGACTCTGCAGGTCTATATCACTGGAGGATCAGGTGTTTGCCATTGATGGGAGATCAGAGAATTATAAATCAAAGTTAACATGGGAGTGAGCACCCAAAATATAATGCACTTAAATCAGGCAGTGTCTTTATTTTGTGGCAGCTCCAGGTATTCATGGGGCCTTTGCATCAGTGCCAAATCATCCCTCTTGAGAGCCCCTCACAGGTGCCTGCATTGCATGTAGAGTGTAATGCTATACTGCCCATTGTCTTTGCCAAGATCACACAGACCTGGTGATAATACATGTTATACATACACATTATAGACAGAGAGTGGGAGAAAATCCCATAGGAATTAGGCCCCATGGAAACTACTTCTATCATTTCTTTCACTTTCACCAACCCTTCCACACATATCTCCACAGGCCTAAAGGGCTGCTGAATTATCTCTAAACAGATTCTCTATTCTTTCTTTCTTGCCAGAAGGAGGGACATGTGAAGTGATAGCAGCGCACAGGTGTTGTAATAAGAACCGCATTGAGGAGCGGTCACAAACAGTCAAGTGCTCCTGTTTACCTGGGAAAGTGGCCGGAACAACCAGAAACCGGCCTTCTTGTGTCGATGGTAAGTAGGTGGTTTTACATTTCTCTCTAGGTGTTCATCATGCATAATATGTGTTTTTGTTTCATGTAAATATGGTTCAGGATAATGAATGAGGCATATCCAAAGTGCTGAAAAATTATACAAAGGCCAGCCCTCAGAATAGATTTTTGAATTCTTATTTCTCTGGCTTTTAGATTTTAAATAGCTCTATTTTTATATTTTTTTAGAAAAGAAATATGAGGGTCTAGCTCATTTGGCAAGTGATTTTGGATTGAGGTTAAACGTAATGATGATGTTGAATGGTAGTTAAAGAAAACAAAACACCTGACATTCATTTAGCACATTTAATTTAATGAGCATTTACTATATTCCAGGCACTGCTGAGATGCTTCACATAAATTCATAACAGAAGTGCTCCAAGCACTATCCTAAATACTTCTCACACATTAGTTTATGTAACAAATTATGACCGCCCTCCCAACTTAGCAGCTTTAAACAGCAAACATTATCTCAGTTTCTGTGGGTCAGGAATCCAACTTCTCTGGATGTTTCTGGCTCAGGTCTCTCATGTGGTTGCAGTCAAGATCTGACTGGTGCTGGAGGGTGGTTTTAACATTACTCACTCACATGACTGTTAGCAGATGGCCTCAATTCCTTGCCACAGAGACTTCTCCATAGAAGCTTACTGTTCTAACACCATGACATCTAGCTTCCCCCAAAGTGAGTGATGCAAAAGAACACAATGACTTTTTCCTTTATAATTTAAACTTAAAATTTACACTTCACAATACCCTAATTGTTATACATGTCAGCCCTAACTGTTCAATGTGGGAGTAGATTATAGGACTTGAATACCAGGAAACAGAGATCATTGGGCCAGAAACACTTGCCCTTGATTTTAAACATCAAGAAACTGAAGCTTAGGAGGGCCAAGTAATGTTTTATTGGTACCATGGCTGGTAAGGCATAGCTCAACTAACTCTTGATTCCAGAGTCACTGGCTCTAGGAATACTGACTTGAACACCAACTTTAAAATAATTATATATCCTCTGTCAAACAGTGAAGCTAAGGTTCAAAGGAACCATAAATTTCTCTTCCCATTTTTATCTTTTATAATTTTAGAGCCAGGTGTGAATTGATCTTCAAACTCTTCAGTCTGAAAATCAGGACTCAGAGAAGTAAGTCATGCTCAGGTCACACAGCATCCCAGACAACACGATGAGGCACCTCCAGGGCAGGGAAGGCAGACAGCTAGGCCAGAAAAGCCATTTCACCCTCCTATAGAAGAAAACTCTTAGCCTATAAACCAATAAACATTATGAAACCATGACATTTTCTCATGTTCTCTGCCAAAGAAAGCACTGAGTCTGTTAACTATAAATCTCCATTTTGTTTCCAGTTCATTTTTATCTCTAATGATCTAGAAATAGAATTATCATAAGGATTTGGAAGCAAGACAAAAAAAGCAATGCAATTTCCTTGGTGACAGAGGAGAAATGACAACTGGCCCTAAGTTCTCTGAGAAGCTAAGCAACATAATGGTAATATTTTATGTCTCAGAACAGTTTTGTTTGACTTCAGAAACTCTGAACTCTTTAGTGCGTAGGTTCAGGCAAGAGAGCTATTACTTTCTATCTTCCAAGTGAAAGTCAATAAAGTATAGAGTGTTCTGTAATTTCAGGCTGATTGTATATAGTTTCCTTTAATTCACTGGCATGCATATTGTTATAATCAATTGATTTAGTGGCTACAATGTCTACATGCAAATTAAATATGAAGTATATATAAACTAATATTTCTAGCATAGGTACTAATATCATGAACTGTAAAATAAGACAGCCATGACCTTGGGCAAGTTACATTTGTTTTTAACCTGTTTCCTCATCTAAAAATTGGGATAATAATTTTTTCTACTTCATGAGATTGTGATGAGGATTAAAAAATCATGTGTGCAATATGTTTTGCATAATATCTGGTTTCCATCAAGTGCTCACTAAGTGATGATATATATTTCCTACTTTACTAATACATGTTGGTAATGCTTAGAAAGAGACATTGTTTTATGAAGTTGTTTTTTATATTAATTCAACACACTAGCATTTTAGTCACTGTCTTTTCTTGGAAATGCTTCTAACTATTTATGCTAGATATAGCTAATGACATATTCAGGAATACATGTTCATTATAGGACTCTTGAAAGCTAAAGAAATGCATCTAGACATTAAAATCATCCATAGCATTCTTGATCAAATAATGAATTGCTTTGTAAGCTAACATGCATACGTCTTCCCAGGCTTAACCTCTCTTTAAAGAGAAACTTACATATTTAGTATTTTATTGAACTATAATATTACAGTACTGTCCTATCAACAGCTTGTTTCACTTCTTATATGATGAGCATTTTCCAACATAATACATAATCTTTGAACATCATTGCTAATAACCACATAGGATTTCAGAGGTGGACACACCACCATTTATCTAACTATCCCCTTCACTTTGGCACATACATGTTTTGTGCATTTCCCTTTCTCTGCCCAACATGGATAGAAACCAGCTTCTGTCCTTGACAGCAGTTGACACCCCATGAACCACATTTGTCCTAAACATACTCTGTCACACATAGTGCATTTCTCAGAGTATGTGCCCCAATGGCTCTTATTTGCTTTCCTCTAAAATCCCTAGTCAGTGGCAATTTCTACAATGATTTTAAAAGCAGAGGAACAGCAATGATCTTAAAATAAGCATATATTGGATTGTTTTATGATTCACAAGGAGACCATATTATTTGAAATGGGACATAAATTCTGCAGTACAGTCTTAGCAACTTATTTTAAAGTATGATATGTGATATTTGGAGAAATTTTTAAGTAGTGAATTTTAGTTTTAAAATGATGTTGCTTAATAACTGAAAATACCAAAATACATACTCTATAACTTAAATTTGAAGATATTCATTATAAATATTTATGAAAAACATTATACCCTTGGAGCTGTGTCTAGCACTATTAAGAAGGAATATGTCATTATGCTTTAATTCACACCCTGTTGTGTTTTATTAATTATTCTATAACCCAAACTAGGGGTGGGGAAACACCTTACTCAATATCTTTGGTTGAGATCAATGAAAAATATAACCCACAACCTTTTAGTAATATCCAATTACAGTTGACCCGTGAACAATGCTGGGGTTAGGGCACCACCCCCCAACCCCAAACCCTATGTAGCTGAAAGCCCACATATAATTTTTAACTCTACATTCTGCCCTTCACTTCTGGGGATTTGACCAAGAGTTGGAAACCATGGCTGGGAATGCAAAAACATTCTAGATCTGTAGTTGATTTAACCCACAGATAGAAAACCTGTGGATATGAAGGGCTGACAATAAATCCATGTAAGTGGATTGGCACAGTTCAAACCAGTGCTGTTCACAGGGCAATTGTACTTTCCAGGGACTACATTTAAAATAAAATAAAGGCTCATAAATAAAAGATGATGATTCAAAACATGATTATTTACTTAAGGGAAGAATTTTTCTAAGCAAAACAAACAAAATATGCAAAAAAACAAGATATGCAAAACAAACAAAAATAATTTACTAGGAGGCTTGTTAAAAATCATGTTTTATTAGTCTCATTGATCTCTAATGACATAAAAAGTGTATCAATATCAAGGTTTAAAAATAATGGAATACAATTAAGAACAATAATAGTAACAATAATAAAAATAATGGCTGACTTTTTTTTAGAGAGAAGGCAAGAGAAGGAGAAAGGGAGGAAGAGAAAGATTGATGTGTGAGAGAATTGAACCAGTGAGCTTTAAGATTGCAAGCTGACACTCAGTCCACCGAGCCACACCAGTCAGGGCAGCTAACATTTTCTTGAAACTTCCTATGTACCACTTTTCCAAGTCCTATAAGCCCGTACATTTATTTAATTCTAACTCCAACAGCATAAGGTATATCCTACTATTATTCCATTTTACCCATCAGGAAACTAAGGCACAGAGATTTGGAAACTTGATCAAAACCACTCAGCCAATAGTGGCAGAGACTGCTGGGCTAACCAACTCCAGGGCTTCCCATTATCAATCACAGGCAAACCAGGATCCAGCATAATCAGATGTTATATTTTAAAGGCTTAGATAAAAGGAAGAAAGTTTATCCATGTGGATACTGAAGAAAATATCTATACTTTGGGCAATACCTGCCCCTTCCTTTTTTGTGTCTTAAACATGATTATTGACTCTGACTAGTGTGGTTCAGTTGGTTGGATAATGTCCAGCCAGGAGAAAAGTCACTAGTTCAATTCCCTGTCAGGAACTATGCCTAGGTTGCAGGTTTGGTTCCCAATCAGGGTGCATGCAAGAGGCAATCAATTGATGTTTCTCTCCCATGTCAATGCTTCTCTCCTCGTTTTCCCTCCCTTCTCCTCTCTCTAAAAATAAATAAATAAATTTTTAAAAAATACTTTATTGATTGTCTTTCCTAAGGTCATGGTCATTGAGTAATTAGAATCATTTCGTAAATAATGGTTTCAGTTTTATAGAATACTTGAAGTTTCATTATGTAAGGCATGGAGGATAAATTACTTTTCCTGGGGAAATTTTCATTCAATTTTTCTCTAGGGTTTCTCCTCATGTAATTTATGTCTATTCTTAAGTTAAAAAATTTATAAAAAAATATTACAACTACCGATCATTAGAGGAGGGTTTTTGTTGTTGTTGTTCATGGTAAATTTTAGTATGAATCTGATTAAGAGAAATCTCCCCAGATAAGTTCATAGACCTTTATTTACCATTCAGTGTAAATTATGACCATTAATGATTCTGATTGTTAACAAACTTTATTTGGTGTTCTTGTTTACTGGGTTACCAACCAGAGGAAACAACCAAAAGAGACCACCTTACAGCACAGAACTTTCTAATTTTTGTTTTTAAATATTAGGGTACAGTTAACATAATGGAAAAAATCACGTTGGCTATTTCTGTGAAGGAAAAAAACACAATATATCAAGATCGT